GGAGTCGCCGTTACTCCTCTGTCTCGGCTGAATTCTAGGAGTAGGTGGAGCAATGGAAATGAGCAAGATATCTTGGTGTCGTGAGGTTGGTGTAGTGACTGAGGATGTAGGATGATGTTCCTGTTGAAAGAGAATACCAGCCTTGTAGAGTATAATTGTCACTTTGGTGGAACAATTGGTTTTTTGCTCTTGTGCTTGCCCTTGGGGACCTGCCACTCCATGTCGTCTGGGTCAGATGCAGGAGTGGATGGTTCGGCACCCTCCTCCATTGGTTCTGCCTCCTGGGTGGAGGCTGTTCTAGCCGGTTTAGAGAGGTTCTGGGCACGAGGAGGAAAACCCCGGCCCCTACCTCCACCACCCGGAGGAGCAGAAATACTGGGCAGGCAGTCGCCCAAGCCCACCTGCTCCTGCCCCTTGGGTGCTGGAGGAGTGGCACAAGAATTGTGCCGCTCCTTGGATGAGGACGCTCCCTCCGAAGAATTCGGTCGGGAGCGTGGTCCCTTCTCCTTGGAAGGAGACCGGGAAGCACTGATGGGTGCGGACACAGCCGACCCATCTTGGGTAGGAGAAACAGCCTGTGAGTCCTCTACACGAGAGGGGACAGGTTGCTGCCTCGTGGAAGTGGTACAACTCTCGCTGGAGGGGGATGTAGGCCTACCAGACGAGAGTGAACGCCCAGGAAGCTGAAGCTGAAGCTGGGGTGTTGGGGACTGCAGTGGCTTCCTAGCATCCGGGAAGGACGTCTGGGTTGCCACCGCAACCTTCAGTGGTGCAGGTCCCCACTGCACCACCTGTGCAAAGCCGCCCTTGCGCAAAAACGCGAAGTGGCGACGCGCCTCTGGGTATGAAAGGTTTTCTTTTACTTTAAGTGTAAGAATTTCTTTTTCATCTTTCCATGTCTTACACGATCTGGAGTAAGCAGGGTGGGGCTCTTTGCAGTTTACACAGAGTGTGTCGTTGGAACAAGAGTCTGCTGCATGGTCGGTTTTGCCACACTTAGCACATGTCGCTTTGCCGCGGCAGTTCTGTGAACCGTGTCCAAATCGTTGGCAGTTAAAGCACCTTCTGGGGTTCGGAACGTAAGGACGAACTCTGCAGTAGAGGTATCCCGCTTTCACAGACTCAGGAAGTGTGGTGGACTCAAAGGTAAGCACGATGTGCCTAGTCCACCTTGGACTCTTGGCCGTCCCGACGCAAGGAGATGCGCCTTGCAGCTACAACCCCCTGCTCAGAAAGGCCCTCCACTACTTTGCTCTCAGACGCGTCCAGAAGGTCGTCCTCCGAGATGACTCCTTAAATGGTGTTCAATGTCTTGTGGGGTGTCACTGTAACTTTGTAGTCCGACACACAGTTGAGTGCAAGGAGCGCAGAACTCTGGTGGCTGGTCTCAATTTCTACAAGTAAATCGCCAGATGCCAGCTTCTTAGCCTTAAAGTTCTTTCCAATCACACCCTCTAGGACCTTTGCAACAAGAAATGGTGACATTTTCGAGAGTTGTTTGTCGCTTTCAGAGTGGAGCACCAAGACTTTTGGGAATCTAGGTGGAGTAGTGTGTGTCTCGTGCGAGGTAGAAACTTCAGTGCGATCCCTTTTCGGAGGCCGATCAAGAAAAGATTTTTTGTGCAGACCCATAAGAGATGGGAGGAAAATTCAGTGCCCGGGTGCACCGCCCACCACGGAGCCCAACAAGGGGGTAGGTAATGTGCCATAGCAAGATGGGCTTGGCTGACACAATTACTCTACCAGTGCTGCCCGGGCACTATACCCTAGTGTGGTTGCAGGGACAGGTCCTGTTTCCACTCAAGGTTGGCCCTTGCCGCCTAAGAAGGTGAAAAAGGAAGGAAGAGAGTGTAGAAGAAAAGAGAAAGAGGTGGGAGGAAAAGTGAAAGAGGGAAGAAGAGGGTAGAAGAGGCGACTGGCTGAATCATCCTGGTCGGGCCAAGCCAGGACACCCGTCTACGAGAAGCAGGGGCCGAAGCAATGTATTGCCTCGCCCGGGGGGCCCCAAAGGGTCCAAACAAACCCCGGGTTCAGCTCAACCACCAGGGTCCCCTTTTCCCCGGACACGGGTTAAGCCACGCACAGCCAGGCGTGGGTGGGTAAACCCACATAGCTCGGGGTTCGCGGTGGTGCCACTCACCAAGCACCTACCAAGGCAGGTGCCCCCTGCGTGCGGGTATGGTGGCCCACGTGGCTGGGGTCCGTGGTGACGCTACTCACCAAGCACCTAGCACCTAAGGTGCAGGCGCCCCCTGCGGGGCTCGGGGTCCGTGGAGACGCCACTCTCCAAACACCTGCTTTCACAGGTGCCCCCTGCGCGGTTGGTTGGTACGTCATGTAAACTTTGCGTCAGGTATTTGTATAATCTGGCAGCGAGAAGGCAAGCCATCAGTTCCAGCCTTGCCAAAGTTAGTGGTTTCACCGGTGCTATTCTTGATTTACTCATCACAATAGTTTATACGCTGTTACCTTCAACGTCGGCACTGCAGACGTACGCAACCGTACCGTAGGCTACGGTGCTTGCATCAGCAAAGATATGCAACGCAACATTCTCTGAACGGTCCTTCGATAGAAACCCGTATAAACGTGGCACTTGAATCTTGTTAAGTTCGTCTAGTTCGGCACACCACTGGAACCATTCTTCTTTCGTATCGTTGGGAATGCTATCATCGTAATCGACCTTCCTTTTCCACAGTTGCTGAAACAGCGGCTTCGCTCTGACAGTGAAGGGGGATATCCATCCCAGGGGGTCGTAGAGCCTTGCAGTCGTTCTCACGACGCTTCGTTTAGTTTCTTTCTCTTGTTGTTCAAACGCCTGTTGTTTGAGACCCACTTGTGCAGCGTCATGGAAGCAGAGCTAAATATAGTCTTGGCTTCCGTGTAAATCTTCACGGCTGCTGCTTCTTCATCTACTCCAGTTAGCAAGTCATCAACATAAAACGATTCCTTAAGAGTTTTCACAGTCTCGGGTACTTACGTTCCACACTTTTCAAATGATGTTGAATAGTTGCAGAAAGCAGGAAAGGGCTTGACGTGGTTCCAAATGGCACTCGTTTCATGCGCCAGCATTCCATGGGTGGTAAAGATCCAGAAGCCGGCGGAGTCGTTTCAAACCATAAGAAACGAAGCGCATCTCTGTCGGTTTCGACAATTTCAATTTGTATAAACGCTTTCTCTATATCCGCCACTAGGGCTATTTTGTGTGTTCTGAAGTTAAGCAGCAAGCTCACGAGGTCCTCGGTTAAATTAGGTCCACTCTCAAGGTTTTGATTCAGTGATTTTGCTTCGTATGCATGTGACGAAGCATCGAAAACTACCCGGAGCTTTGTAGTGTTGCTTGATTCCCGAAGCACAGCTTGGTGTGGCATGTAATATGTCAGTAATTCGTTCTCGCTGTCACTCGCAACTATGCGTTCTGCCATGTCCTTCACCATGTACTCTCTTATGACGTTATCGTACGCCTGTAGGTTCCCAGGTGTCTTTCGTAGCTTACTGATAAGCTGGTGCAGGCGTTTTATAGCGACCCCCTTGTTGTCCCCAAGGTCCACGATGTTCTTCCAGGGAAGGGCAACTTTGTACCGTCCATTTACTTGTGTCACAGTTTCTTCAAAATTATTCATCACGGGATCGTTCCCCACATCGTTATTTTCGAAGTCATTGACACCGATGGACTCCAGTGTCCAGAATTTCTTCAAAATGTCTGTCGTAGACTCGGTCACTTCAGGCTTGAGAGCTGTGATCTGATAACAAGGAAGCTCCTCGGTGGCTCCCTCGACTGGTCCTTGAATGCTCCATCCAAAGACAGATTCAACTGCCCTCAGCCTTTCATCCAGCTTACGTGACCGTCCAGTGGTCAGCTCCCAGAAATGTTCAGATCCGATCAGAAGATCGATGGTTGTCGGACCCTCATCGTTGAAGAGGTCCCCGATGAAGCAGTTTAGCTCTTTGAGTTTGTTGTTAAGGTGTTTCAACGGAACTGGAATTCGTTGGTTGCATATCAGTTCGGTCTCCAACACCTCGAGTTGATGTATCTTTCCGGTCTGTGTTGTCAAAAACACCAATACACGCTGGAATTCCTTCTCTGTGACGCTGCCATTGAAGACACCCGACAGTCAAACGCTCATGACCTAATAGCTTACAACCAAGTTTTCTGGATGCTTTTTTTGTAATGAAAGTGCATTGACTTCCCCCGTCAAAAAGTGCTCGGAGTTTAAACTTTTCTTTGTCGCCAGTACACCAAATTGTGGCGGTTCGCATGAAGACTATCGGTTTTTCCTGGTTGTTCGTCGTCGCTTCCAAGTTGACGGGGACACTTGTTGTGACGGTATCATTATTTGTCCATTTTCCTGGAGAGTAATGTGGATCACACGTTGATGTTGCGTGTCTTCCTCTGCACTTCTGGCATCTTATGCTGCTCCGACACTCCATTGCTTGATGGTTCTTCTTTGTGCATCTGAAGCATCGCCTCTCTTTTTGGAGCAGGTCTTTTTTCTCTCGTAAAGATGTACCAGCCTCGCAGTTGTCAGCGGTATGTCGAGTCGACTTGCATATAAAACATTGATCGCCCCTTGAGGACGGATTCAGTAGAGCCGCCGAAGTTTTACTCTTCCATGCTTTCTCGTTGTCTTCATTTTTCTTGTGATCTGCTTCTTTTTTCCGCGGCTCGCCATAAGTATCCATAGCTTGCAAAGCAGCGAGGTTTGCTCGACTTAGTACTTCAAGTCTTAAAAAGTGAACTAACTTGGAAAACGAATCTTCCATCCTCCGTTGTGGAGATATTCTTTCTTGATCGCTGAGATGCGAAGACTCTCTTGGTTGTGTTGTCGTCGCCGTTAGTGTGTTTCGTGGAATTATTAAGTCCTCCGGCTGCTCCATCACTAATTTCCTCTTGAAGTCTAGGAGTAGTTCTTTTGGGAGGGCACGTTCAACGATGGGAAATAACATAGAACTGAAGGTTTTTTGCTGGCTTCCCAACGTTTCCAGACCTCTGATGTTTGAGATCACTGTGTCGTAAAGACAACGTGTGTCGTAAAGACAAGGCCACGAACGTCCAAGGCAGAACGCACTGGCTTGACATCGATCAGTCTTTTTAGGTGGGTCTGGACGAGCAGGTCTTGGTTTCCGAAGCGACTCTTCAACAATGTGACCGCGTCTTCGTAGCATCGTGCGGTCGACGGAAGTCCGGCAATCGCTGCTGCAGCATCTCCAGTCACTGCTGTCTTCAGATAGTTGAACTTGTCCACCTCTGTTAGTTTGTTGTTATAATGTACAACTTGGTTGAATTGTTCCCAAAATTCTTGCCACTGGCTGACGGAGCCGTTGAACTTCATCAGCTCGAGCTTTGGTAGCCTCACTCGAATTCTCGTTGTCGCACCAGTGGGGTTGTCGTTTCTGTCGGTTATCGGTGGGCTTTGCTGATTCGGAAAGCCAGTCCTACCTCGATGAGCTAGTCTTGAAAGACAGGCTGTGGCTCTATCGTTGTATTCGAAGACTTGAGTAAACTCAGTCTCGCTGTCTTGATCAGAGACTAAAGGTTCGATCTCGTTGTTCACGTCATTTAGCTCTACCTTAAGTCCCGTCAGTCGGTCGTGTAAAACGTTTGCATCTTCTGGCGTCAGCTGTTGATTGAGTCGTTTGTTGCGCTCATTCATAAGGCGTGTCACTTGAGTGCGAAGTACCTTACGTTTCTTGGTGTACCGATCCATCGTTTGACTGTCTCGCTGCAGATGTCGCGTTCTTGGGAGACTCGTTCAAAGGTTTTCTCCCGGGTTTCGGCACCAATAAAATGTTGCGTTCACAGAGGGGAGCCGACACCGTACAACGGATAGTTAAACATTTAATTGCTAAAGTAAAGGTAAATTACACTCAACGAAAAGGAATGCGCTGACAAGGTGACGACGCCATCGTTCCATCTCTTCGTACATGTTCCAGCCGAGCGCCTTCTTCCTCTTTTCTCCTGATCTAGGCGTGCATACTTTCTTTTCTTCTCCCTATATGGGTGCTTGGTGATATTGTCCCTCTTGCACTTTATGGTTTCAACAACTACAATGTTCCAGGAAGTCTTCTTTAGGTCTTTTTCTAGCACCCCCATCTGTGCAAACCCAAGCTATCATGTTGATTCCTTCCCGTTAATGGATCCTATCATTTCTCCCGATGGTGTTCTGAAGATCATCAATTGTCTTAAGATACCCTCAGCGACTGGAATAAACGAGATTAACTCAAAATATCTTAAAGCTACAAATCAATACTCTTCCGTAATCCTTGCACATATTTTTCAACAATCACTTGAGACTTCATTGGTACCAGCCGACTGGAAAATTGGTAATGTTATTCCCTTGCACACATCCTATCAATTATAGACCCATCTCACTAACCAGCGTTCCCTGTAAAATTTTTGAACATATAATTTATACGCAGCTCGCAAACCTTATAGAATCTAATTCATTCTTTTCACCAGCTGAAAATGGCTTTAGAAAATATTTATCTTGTGAAACACAACTTTTGTCTATCACCAGCAACTTTCATTCGGCACTTGATCGGGGATCTCAGGTGGACTGCCTATTTCTAGACTTTGCCAAAGCATTTGACAAGGTATCACACTGACTTTTACTGCTTAAGCTAAGTAAACTTAACATCGACTCTAATGTGTTTAACTGACAAGTATCGTTTCCAACGAATCGGTCACAATTTGTAACGTGTAATGGTACTAACTCCTCCTCTGCACCAGTTTCTTCCGGAGTACCTCAGGGGTCCGTTCTGGGACCTCTACTCTTTTTAATATATGTTAGTGACTTGCATGCGGTGGTTTCTTCTTCAATTAAACTTTTTGCTGACGATTGTGCTATTTATCAAGTAATATCTAATGACTCTGACTCACAAAAACTACAACATGACCTAGATTCCAAACTACACTGGTGTGAACTCTGGTCAATGGAGCTCAATATTAATAAATGTAAAATAATGCGCATAACACGTAAAGCCAACTTCAACTTTGCTTATAGTATTAATAACACGGCCCTAGAACTTGTAAACTCATACAAGTATCTGGGTGTGATTTTAAATGCTGACCTTTCCTGGAAACTTTATATTAACTATGTGACTAACAACGCCAATCGAATGCTTGGTTTTCTCAAACATAACTTTTATCTCTCCCCATCATCATTAAAACTATTCCTTTATAAAACACTAGTTAGGTTCAAGCTAGAGTATGCAGCTTCCATCTGGGATACCTCTTCCCTTTACCATGTTGATTCACTTGAAGCAGGGATGGGCAAAATACATGCAAATATGTATTGAAATACAAATACAAAATACTTCATCAAAAATGTATTTCATTACAAATCTAATTAAATTTCCAAAAAAGCATTTAAATACAAGATACAAATACAACCAAATGTATTTGGTCTCCTCCAAATACTTTTCCAAATACATTCCTAAAAATTTGCGTCAGCGACTGCAGGGCACCTGCAACAGGTTTCTGGTATCTCATTTTAATTTTGCATCGCACACTCGGGAGTTAGTGTGCGAGGCTCTATTAACGTAATAGAAATATAATCACAAAAAAAAATGTAATCAGCTTGGACGTAATAGGTGAAAAAAGTACAGTTTCAAGCAGCTTTTTTTGTCGATTACATTTTGGTAGAGACCAACAAAGAACCGAGACGTCCAAGACGCACCGCACTAACTAGAGAATTTTTTATTGTTGCAACTCGCACCGGTTACAAAAATCTGGACGACCCGCGCATTTAGAATGTTCCAGGCAAAAATATGGATGGAAATCAGGCTGGAAAGCATCACAAGTTGTCACAGGCACTTATTTAGCCAGACTGCCTGTGAACGTCGATTTCGTCACTGTTCTTGCCCTGGACCAGCACCGTAATCACAAAGTCACTAAACGCTTGTGCTTGATTGAGAGACACTGCATTCGGTGCAGAACGTAGTTTTCTTCCTGCTCTGGACAGTGCCTTTAAAATAAAGCCGGAGGAGGAAAGAAAAAATCCCCATGGTCGAATAAAGGAGGAGACTATATCTTACAACCACACGCATAAAAACAAGAATTGTAACTTTGGCAATAACATTTATTTAACGTAATAGAGGCAAGTGCAACATTAAAGAGGGGACCTTCTCAATACAGTGTAATCTTGGTGCGTGCTAATCTGTGAAGTTTCGACTAGTACGACTTCAGCAGCAGAAGCTTTTCGAACAACGTGTCGCTAAGATGACGCCTGTTGGGGCAAAGAATAAGGCTGCCAAGGGAAAATAGGCGCTCTACGGGGGGCAGACAAACTTAAGTTTGTATTGTACCTTAAAAAGACGCACTTCACAGCAGGGTACTCATGCAGCATTGTGATCGAGGTGCGTGTGTCCTGCAAGTAACTGAACACCTCAATACGTATGCTTAGTGCGCTCGATGTCGCGGTCGAGGGAGTGTGACCCGCAAAGTTAAAGAATGCATCACTTTCATCTGGTTTTGGCGCACAGTTCCCAGTAGACCCTGTAGACAGATCCTGCGCAGCCTGCACAAGGAGATCGCTGATGTCATGCGTACCATCGCGTGGCATCCAACGGGTCTTAAAATACGGGTGACTACAAGAAGCGATAATGGGTGGCTTGTCACCCAGGCACAACCACCTCTGGAAACGTCTCTCCAGACTGTCCAGGGCAGCCTGTGCAATCTTTTCCGTGCGGACTTTGTAAATTTTCCCGAACTTGTTCCAGCTTCGCTCGGACCGTGAACAACACCGGAAGCAACTCGCCGTAGTAACCACTGTTGCTGCTTCCTTGCAGACGATCAAGCGCTCAAATTAATGAGTGAACTGTGAATAGATGAACTAGTATGCACACATAAAATAAAAGAGGTGAAGGCACGCACGTTATAAAGCAATTATTGTCTACGTTATGTATATTACTTTGTGGCATACGAAATTAAAGCAGCACGCAAGACAGGACGCACTCGTCCTGTGTGTTTCTTCTTTTAGGTCTTTTCTTTTTTGTGCACTGCTTTTAATTTATTAGGTCATGAACCAACTCGCCTGCGTTGCTACTTTATTTCGCTTTGTGGCAGGCTATTATTCATATCATAAATTTCGAGCTAATTAGGTTGTCGAGCATTACACACTATCTACCTGTAGCAACTGGCTTGAGTATGGTACAATATTCCTCAATAAACTCAATTTCCGAGGACTTCAATGAGGGTAGCTGGAGCTCGTTCCAGAGGTCTTGTAATTTCTCCTTGTTCTGGGTGAGGACGTCCAAGGCATAATGCAGAGTTCCAGCGAGTGATGCAAAGGCTGGTAGTTGCTTGCCAAGGATAGATGTAACGACTTCCGCTGATTTTGGCCGACCCGAGGCGCCCCAGTATTTCGAACACTTGCTCACGACGCTGAAATAGAGGCGATTCAAAGCATGGTTTGCACTGATAGCTTTCTTGACGTCCGCCGTTGCAATTAAACTGAGCGTGTGACAGGCGCACCATAGGTGCTGTGACAAAAGCGGGCCTGGGGGCTCGATCTCCTCAAACGTGACGAGCTCAAAATCCTCGGAATCCGTTTAAAAAAAAAAGTCAGGCACAATATAGTTTGGTTGTAAAAGGTCTAAACTCTCAACTCTTAGAGCTTGCCTACACCTGCAACACACGCTTCGTCGAAGGCCGTTACGCCAAATTCCTTGAATGCCTTCACAAAATTTGTTGCGTTATCCGTGACTGTGCCAGTAATCTTTCCTGTAGGCAGGCAGTAGTCTGTGCAAACGTCCGAGAGCAACTCGGCGACTGTCGTAGGAGTGGGTGCCAGCAAATCTCCTGCAAGCAAGTGCGGCGGATTATCGTTCTAGTGTCGCTTCCGATATCTGCAGCTAAATCCGGTCGAAGAGGCTATAATAATGCAGTATAAAAATTATTTGCACAGAACACAGGCCAGGTGGCCGCATATTTAAGAAAAAGTATTACAAGATAAATAGTAAATACCCAGTGGGCTGTCACACCCAGGTAGCTCTTAGTTGACGTTGACCACACATCGGCATTTTAAGTGCCGCCCTAACTCTTTCGAGATGGGCATCGTAGTCAGAGTCAACTCTGCGACCCAGAGTTCTTCTCGACATTACATTTATGGTTGCTAGGCAAGTACCTAAAAGAAAGTATAAAAATATGCCAAACAAAACAAAACTAAAATTCGATGACATAATCAGTCTACAATAACTGAAATATGCCAAACAAAACTAAAATACGATGACATAATCAGTCTACAATAACTAAAATACACAAGCCAAGCTGAAGGCCATAAAAACACACCTTTGACGAAGGCCACAAACTCCGGCTGCTCGACGAAGGTCAAAGGAAGCATCCCTTTCACAATCAGATCCGTCAATAAACTGTCGAACTTGGTCTGCGTGACCACGGGAGCACTTGGGACAGTCACAAGCACTAGCCTCGTTTGCTTGAGAGCTGGTTCTGGGCCAGCGGTGCATTAAGTCTCTGTTTTTTGTTCTGATCCCGCCGCACGTGCTCATCGTACTTGACAAGAACGAGGATGAATACGCTAGGCCAAATAAACAGAATTATAATAATGATATGGTAAAAACAGTGACCCAAAATAAAAAGCTCAAGATCTAAACGAAAATTAGGATACCTTCAAATGTGTCCTAAAGTTGGAAGTTGCCGACCATGAACCTGAAATAGTCTTTAGGCATGACTGGCAGATGGCCTTCA